CACAAAAAAATAATAAATAATTTAGTCCTCAGTGAGTGAACATCAAGTGTTATACATGTATTTACTGATACTTACCCCCAAATGATTAAAAAGCCCTTAAAAAATATTTAATTTATCGCTAATATATTCAGTTGCAATTAAGAAACAAAAAAACAACAAATGGACCCCAAAAATTAAAAGGAAGTATTATTATTATATACATTTATAAAAATAAAAACAATAATAATAGTATATTCTATGGATTCATTCAACAGAAAGTATTGCAATACTGATAAAAAAATTTTTGGTAAAAAAATAACGTATTGGTATTTATTCAAAGACACAGATACTTTTATGTGAATCCAAAGGCTAGTTTCATGATGTAGTTAGCAACTAGACAGAATAACCCTGAAACAGAAAGGTTAATAAGTTGACGTTATCCATTGTTAACTATAGCATTCTTCAGAAGATTCGTACCCCAACTTTTAAGTCCATCTGTAATTTTATCAAGAATTGAATCGCTTGCGCCACTCCTTTGGTTATTATGACCGTAAGGAGACCGCCCTTGGGCTGGATAACCTCCTGGATATCCACCGGGTTGCTGGTAGCCGCCGCTACCGTATGGATAACCTCCTTGGGGATATCCACCTGCATGAGGGTATCCACCGCTCTGTTGGGGATAACCTCCACCAGGGTAGCCGCCTTGGGAGGGATAACCACCTTGGGATGGGTATCCACCTTGCGATGGATAGCCACCTCTTGATGGGGGTTGACCAGGGTAGCCTGATCCAACAGAACCACCTTGATAACCTCCTCCGTGTGAAGGCACCTGACCGGGTCTGTACATTGGGCTTCGAGGGGTTGTTTGACCCGGTCGAAGGTTAGGATATAGGCTACCTCCTCCTCCCTGAGGAGGTAGATTGGGGGCGCTTGGTTGGAGGTTTGGAGAGTTGTTGGGGATGCTGTTTTTCTCGTCTATAGAACTGAATTCGGCTGGAATTTTAATGTTTGGTTTTGATAGGATGTTTTATTAAACGGATGAAAGGGAGTTCTTACATGATCTGCTGTTATCTTCAACGCATTTCGGGGTGCTGCCATCCATGATGCATTTCTTGGTTGGGGGGCAAACGTAGGACGTACAGGAGGGAGCTCCGTTGTTAACTTTTTGGCATGTGGGATATCTGGGGTTTTAATATAAAAGAGTGTGACGTATATTTTACTGTAGAAGGAACTTTATTTACTTTTAAAATAGGGATCCCTTACGCAATATAAATTGGTAAATAACTACAGATAGCGCAGTAAACGCCATCTGGGTGAACCATTAATTTAATGTGTTTTTATTAACACTTAGTAAGACCGCAATCATTACCAGCAAATCTTTATTGGGCGTTTACTGTGCTGTCCGTAGGTAGTTGTTTATTAAAATCACTGTTAACGTGCAGTAGCTTGGTCCATATTATATCGGACTGTCATTTCTCGTGCAGATGAGAGCTGACAAGTCTTAAATTACGATCCACGTATAACAGTTTTGACTTTGGACCAAGAATATATCAGAAAATATCCATTTAGTAATTTTTGTGGTTGTAATTGTAAAAAGTATTCAGATTTGATGTTTTGTAACATTCATGATTTTTTTCTAGGTGAGCCGCAAGTTAAGATACCTTGAACGTTGGGTTTCTATTATGCAAAGGTAAGCGGTCAAATCTTTGCTAATTAATTTAAATTCGGTAATTCAATTAATTGTTATGTAAAAACATTAGTACATCGCTAGATTATGGTTTATGTAACTATCTACTATTATATTTTACATAATAATTTTTGCAATATTCAGTTATTATCATTTCTTTAGTAATAATTAATATATGAGGAGATCAGGTTAATTACTTACGATCCACAATCGTTTCCCCTGTTATAATAGCTGCAGGGATCCTCTGCCATTACGCACACTTCGCTACTAGTACATCCTATATCTTTACATGTTCTACCATACTCTGAAAATTGAGAGAAACCATTACTTTAAATTTTTTTCTTTTTAAATAGAATTTTTGAGAAAGAAGATAATATTTTCTGGCTTATTACTTACTTGAATATGTGCTTCCTAATCCTATTACTGCGAAAAAATTAAAAGGTGGTTGAAAAAGTATATGAAACAGAAGGTATAAAATATCACCCATTTATTCTTCATAGATATGCACGAAATGTACGGATGTTACTTGAACGATTTTTAGCACCCTTTACCTCTTCTTTCCACTAAACATTTTTTTAACTGAAAATAATTAAATTATAAATTTATGTATCCAAAGACAATCGTTAGAAAGGCACACTCGAGTTAGTTCCTGTTAAGACACAAAATATGTTACGTACATTGCTAATTTATTTACATCGTCATTAGTATGTTGTTATTTACTACAAGAAGGAAGAAGAGAACTACAACGTTTATAAGGTACAAATGAAGTACTGAATATGTACTTTCTTGTTTAAAAATAAATAAACAATAGACATGCAAGTCAACGAAAATTGACAGTTTGCTACCGTACAGATCCTAATGATCTACTAATGCCATCATTGTTAGTGATTGTCAAAGAATAAAGAATAAAAGGCATTTACAATTACGCCAAACTAGCAAACAATATTAAATAAAAAAAATAAAAATTAAAAGAACTACTAGCTATTCTNGTAGCCGTGATCGTCTAGTGGTTAGGACCCTACGTTGTGGCCGTAGTAACCCAGGTTCGAATCCTGGTCACGGCAACGTTCTCGAAACGTTGTCACGGAAGAGACAATTTTTTATATATTTTTTTTAATCTTAATTATTTGAGCTCTATATCCTTCCATTATGATCAAGTAGGTACGTTAAAGCAAAAAAAATTAATTGGCTTTTGAGCAGACGATTTGGTCGTCAGTTGATGAAGATTTCTATCCAACTGTTTTGGTTTGTTTTTGGTTCGTTTCTGGCAATGGAAATAATATTTATTATCATCATAGGCTCGTTCGAATTGGAACTAATCTAGATCTTCCTGTGCCTGCCACCCTTTACTCCTCCTTCTATTTCTAACATTATTTTTCCGTTTCTCTTATTGACTTCCGTAGAACCATTTGTTCTCTTCCACTTTCTTTTACCTACCTTTACATTTCTAGCCTTTACTAGACTATTGCTTTTCTTCTGCTTTCAAATTTTCTCTCCTCAATATCTAAGGTTTTCCCCTCTTATGGTTGTGCTGAGAAAGAAGGGGCTGGGAGGGTCTAAATAATTTTTATTTTCCGTGTGATATCCTAGGGGGTATGCGGTCCTTATTAATAAAAGGGGGAAGAAGTTGTCGCAGTAGCGTATAGGTACACGATGCCTCTGTTCCTGAACAGTTTTACGCGACTGGAATCGTAAAGTTTAACTTATTATGGAAGCTAAAGAACCGCCGGAATAGTTGCTAAGATTCCGGAACAATCCGCGAACAAGCCAAAACGCCTAGATAAAATACTACCGGCTGCGACGACGAGGACGTCGATTCAGCCAGCGGCGGGCGTCGGCGGTGGGCGTCGCGTACACCGACGACTGCTAACAGATGGCGCGAAGGGGATAAATTCCGTAATTCGGAAAGACTGTGGGATCTAATTTATGGCGCTACGGAAACTAGTATACGATTGCATCTGGAAAAAGGAAAGCTTAAAGGAGGATTTGGTGTGTTCGGGAAGAAAAGAACGAACATACATCAGACAGCGAGTAAGAGAGAAAGAGGGATTAAGTGCCGTTTATTAACCCTTGCAGATGTCGACGAAATAAAGTTGACAATCTGCGGCCTGGGTGCGATTCGAAATCTTGTGGAGTCTATATAGCGAATAGTTTGCGAATTGAAACGAATAGAGACTTTCGTAATGTTTTCGGACTTGAGAAGGTCTGATCAGAGACATATTCGAGGCAGAAACGGGAGTTAGGAGGGTTGTTCTATTTTTAGGGAAATGCGAAGATTAGCTTAGGATAAGAAGGAGTGGAGGTGCTTGTCCAACCAGTCAGACTGACGATCTTATGATGATGATGATGAAGACTTGGGGTCCACATACTCACTGGCTGATTTGATTTCTCCATCAAAATTTCAGGATAGTGATGGCAGTATGTTTAGATATAGATTTAAATTATAAAGAACATCAAATTCAAATGGTAGTTTCTAAGAATCAACGACACTAATAGTAAGTTCGAAATAGAGATCTACAGTTGGTGGTTTCGATAATTAGTTGACCAGGAACTTAATCCTTCCTTAAGGCTTTTGGGATTCGCCGTGGTCCAGTATCTAACCACTATCCACTTCAGAGAGGGTCGTTCGTTCGTATATCGCGGTAGGAACATTTGTCAACCTGAATTCCTGGCGAAGGAGCTTCAATATTTGAAGAACGTATTTACAGCTAGCGGCTATGGTAGGAGGGGGATCAAAAAAATCATGAATCACAAAAGATCGAAAAAGCTGGAAGGATCTTTGCTGGACACTCTCTTATCTCTTAATTCCACCTTTTTAACTGAAAAAAGGGATTCCGGTTCTCTCGTACGCTCATTCTGCCATAAAACAAACAATAATAATGAACTTTTGAATAGATTACTCTGGTATTTGTATTTAAGTTTTCGTATTGGATGTGGATACAATAAGTGCAGCAAATATTTCTCTTATTGCCTAATTGAATCCCAACTTTATTGTTGAAGTTGAAACTGAACGAATAGAAATTTTTTGTTCTAAATAACCATTGTTTTCTTGACCATTATGTACTGATCTTTGTTTCCATGCTGATTAATGCTCGCATGTGATGTGTAGTTTCGTGAGATAGATTAATAGGTAGAGGATTGTTCAGATTTTTAGAAGAGTAATGCATGCATTTGTTCTACTATCGCTGATGGATGTGGTCAGACATCGAAATATGAAATTATTGACTCCTTTTTTACATGACATGGACATTTATCTATAAACTTATCAAGGAACGGGTAATCCATAACTATTTCAAAATTGAGATATCTATGGATTGCTGAATGCCCTCCACTATCAGCCTTTTTTCACATGGCTGCCATATAAAATACTGATTATAAAATATAATGCCATAATTATTGCAAAAAGAATTTATTTGCTCAATTTATTTGAGAGCTTTTCTTCGGGACTGCTGTGACGCATAAGAGTCAATCAAATCCTAAAATCTTATGGTTCTTGTCAAGCACTGAATTTAGTCGCGATTAGACCTTAGCACTACGGAGGTAATTTTTATTCTTTCTCGTTATTTTTTTGACTTAATTGGCTGTGCTAGGAGCCACATCCATATCTACAGTTTTTGGGAGTCCCCGAAATGTAGACATTCATATATGAAAAACAGCAGGTAAATCAGTTTTGTATAATTGGACCAAACTGGGCTTCTATACTAAACCTTGTAACTACTTCTTTTACTCGTTTTCAAGTTGGCAGAAGTCAATGCGTTCATCGAATGAAGTCGCAATTCGATTTCCAGTGTGTTTTTAGACAAAAATTTCCAATCATACACCTTTAACAATATTTTTAATAAATTAACCGTTCGCGAGCATGGAAGCGACTTCTTTTTATTGAAGACGATAACAATTTTGTTTCTTATTTCTAAGAGAAGGGTAGAAGGGAGAGTGCAGTAATTGGAATCATTAATTACTTACTTTGAAAGAGGTAGGTGTTGTTGGGGTCGTCCCTTTGAGTCAACAATGGAGAAATTAAATTTATTTTATTTCAGTGAATTTTAATTAAATCTCAATTAGTGTCTGGATCCTGAGCGACAGGCGGATGCTCTCATGTATCGTAAAATGTTTTATGCTCTAAGAAAAATGGAGGCTGCCTTCCTTCCTTAGCTTATCGGGGTTTACAGGGGCTTCAGTTGTAATTATGTATGCAGTCTGAAATTTATGGCATAATAAAACAATTCATTCATCAAAGTCCTTTCGTAGGCGCCCGTTGCACCTGCGCTCTTCTAATGAAAAGTAGTCGTTTATATTGTTGACGTTTCATTGTTATAATGGCTGACTACTTCTACTACTTCTCTTTTTACATGTGTCCTCATAACGATTATTAAAAGGGGACCGCAAAGTCTTCCCAAGGATGGAAGGACATAAAACTTGGATGACTAATTGTAAATTGTTTGCAACTGCAGCTACTGCTTCTTTCTGATTTATGGTATATCATCAAAAGGACAATCGATTATATGTGACCCCACTTTATTGGTTCTAAATGTCCAGTGTGAATGCACTGGTATAATAAATCAGAGAAAGATATCATTTTGAACGTAGTCTGCGATTCTTAGTCCAAAATTGGGTATCTTAGCTCATGAAAATTTCGAAATATCCTAATCCAAAGAGTCAAAACTGGCAAAGCTTTATGATTGGAGTTTTGTAGGCATTACTATGTAAAGTAAATGGAGAAAGCAACCGAAAGAGTTATCATCTTAAAATCAATAAAATCATTAGGATTTTGAGGTTAAGATGTGTTGGAGCAAAAGCAGACTCGCATTTAATACTACTCTTTTAGTTATTTAGTTCTTTAACTTCATATTTACCTAGTTTTGTTTTTAAAAAAGTTAATTTGGTCAAATATGAATACCCTGTTGTCCTCCCTTTTCAACTCCGAGGTTGTTGGTCCAAATGTTACACATTTATCTACGTATCATTAGAAGAATGGAATGCAGTGGGTACATGTCCTTTGCGATTCTATACATCGGAAGTTAGTTTATTAAGGTTTATTACTACAAATAGTTTCATTATTAATCTAGTTTCGAAATTCAACCTCGCCTTTAAAGGTAACTAATATTTCCACTAAGGAAAAGTAATATGATCGCATTACTCACTTCAATCATTCAAAGAAAACGAGTTTGTTGCCTTCCAAGTTGGCGCATTCGGTGTGGTACTTTGTATTCAGGTTATTTCCCTAAGTTGCGGAAAATTAGAAACTTGGCATAGGCATCTTATAACGAAGCATTTTCCAACCTCATAATATTAAAATATTAGCTATTTTCCTAACTTCGGTCCGAGTGGTATGGCATTAACTTGCCAGCTTTATTACATTCTTGATGGAAACATCAAGGCTGCCTGCTTAATACGTTCTCGTTACTCCGTTGGCAAAACTTTCTATTATTCCTTTTAAATTAAAGTTGCAATAAATCGATTACGAAATGAACTCTACGAGCACGAGAAACGCTTCAGAAATTATATTTGTAGAGATTGACGGGAATTATTAGTGAAAAGTTAATCTTTTACGTTCAGGGCTGTGTAGTGTTCTCCTTTTCTGTAAGCCTCACGTTACTTCGATTGACAGACTCAGTATCCAGTTAATTGGATGAGTACCAATAACTGATTAACACAGTTCCAGATATTGAGCGACGAAAGACGAGTGACGAGACTAATCTGATAGAGAGCAGTATTTCATATTTTGAAATACGTAGATATTTAATTTAGAATTTCATAGAGGGAGTAATTACGGCCAGAAGCAGCTCATACATTCACTTGGTCAAAGGGAACAAACCAAAGAAATCATCTGACGAAGAGTTTAGCAGATTACCGTTTGGACACAGATCAATATGTAATGAAGTTAAGCAATGATAGCTTTGGCTACTTCTTGGATGGGTGGCCAACTCTAACTGGTATCATACAATCATACAATTCAGCCGTGCTTGGAATGGATATAGTAATAAGATGGAGGTTTTAAACGACTGATAAAAATATGCACCTCTTAAGATCTACAACTTTGCTCCTAATAGGAAACTACACATCAAAACGGCCCAAATCTCTCCCATTATGGAGATGACAACAGTTGAGATACAGCGACTGAACCGTTTAAAAGTCTTACTGTGCATCTGTCGGACTATAACCAGTGGTGTTGTGCTAATTTTTTTTTTTACCGGAACGCGTATATATAATTATATAGACAGGGCCGATCTTGGGTAGGCGGCCGCTCTGTGCGGTCTAATGTCCCAAATTTGACGATGACGGGGGGGGGGGGGGTTTTCCCCCAATTTTCGCCCGTCGCCAGGATCGGCCCTGTTCACGGTTCGGAAAAACAAGCCGGTTCGTTTCGGTTTTTGTTCCGGTTCAAGTCCGGTTCAAACCCTTGTTTATAATAATACATATAAAAATTCGTCAAAAATTAGAAAAAAGAATCAGCAATTCCTTTTAATTTTTTTTTCAATACGTCAGCCAATTCTCGTTATCAGAAATCACCTTTAGTTCCGGAACTCGTTCCTGTCCAAAAAGGAAGTACCGGAACGACGTTCCGGAGCATTCCGGCTCGACAACACCACTGACTATAACTACCCTAAGAAGAAATACTTGTGGGTCAAACAAAACGTAACAGATTTCGATATTAACAACCGGTTTTAAAAAGGCTACGAAGTCGTGGGTGTGAAAGTAAAATTGCTCTTGTGTGTTACTGTATTTTATTACACCGAATGACATAATGTTTAGTAACTTTTACGTTAGTTTTAGTCAAATCGAAAAGCCCAAGCTTTAGACCAGAAGGTGTCAATTTCTAATATGGCATAGGAATACGAAATAATCCAATTCCACAGGTAAAATACCACAGGAATCCGTAATGGATCATCCATGTAATCCAGACAAACAACGTTGACTGCATGGGACACGTTTGTTTGCATTAAAGGTGGCGTCGCACGTGTGACTGGGGACTTAAACTAATCTTGGTCAGCAGGCCATTTGTGCCCGTCCTAATTTTATTCACACCCCGACCGTGCATTCCAATACAACTCCAATGAAGACAAATGCGTTCGCAAAGTTGCTTCGTTACCAGGATTTGCACGGCAGAAATGCTAAATACCGCACATTGATATTGTTTACAAACTGTCTCAGGAGACCGTCGAATGTCCGAGAACTCCGAAAACACCATCATTTATTTAGAAGAAATTAATTCTCTCTTCGGTTAATTTAACGGTAAACAATTGGATGTAAAATTAGAATTGATCAACCGACACAAAAAAAGACAATGATCAACTAAAATAAATGCAATTATTTTTAAAAAGTCATTAAACTTCCAACTGAAATTGAAGGTCTCCCTCCCCGCCGTTGTGACGTCAAAAATTCTGCAAACAAAAGCAAGCGATGATGGGCAGTGACCCGATGAAATTGATGCAAATGAACTAAAAGAGATATATTGGCGTTATATACTAACTGTATTGTGTATTAAATGGGAATTAAATGAACCACTCAACTCATGCATAAAGTAATTTGATGTTACCAAGTCACAGAAATTTTTACAGCTTTTCTTTCGTATCATTTAATTTTATTTCCTATTTATCCCAAATTTGTGTCATTACTTTAAATGTAAAATTCAGACTAACTTTCATGGGTGGTTAAAATTCGGATTTCGTGATACAAAACTATTGGATTGAAAATATTATTAAAAATTACTAGTTCTTTCCCTTGCCCCCGGCCATTTTTATAGTTCCGCTATGACGTAGTGTCGGCCATCATCTTTTTCTTATTGTTGCAGTTGTCGGCCATCATTCTTTTTCAATTGTTGTCGCATTGTCACTGATGTCGGCCATTATGGTTTTTTAATAGATAGTAATCCAAAATTAAAATTTAAAGGAATTGTTTGTAAATAGGTATGCAACACATCGTACACTTCACCATAAGAAATTGCTGATACTAACTTTCATTTACGTAATACTACTTTGTCCTGTACAGCTATTTTCCTAACTTCGGTCCGAGTGGTATGGCATTAACTTGCCAGCTTTATTACATTCTTGATGGAAACATCAAGGCTGCCTGCTTAATACGTTCTCGTTACTCCGTTGGCAAAACTTTCTATTATTCCTTTTAAATTAAAGTTGCAATAAATCGATTACGAAATGAACTCTACGAGCACGAGAAACGCTTCAGAAATTATATTTGTAGAGATTGACGGGAATTATTAGTGAAAAGTTAATCTTTTACGTTCAGGGCTGTGTAGTGTTCTCCTTTTCTGTAAGCCTCACGTTACTTCGATTGACAGACTCAGTATCCAGTTAATTGGATGAGTACCAATAACTGATTAACACAGTTCCAGATATTGAGCGACGAAAGACGAGTGACGAGACTAATCTGATAGAGAGCAGTATTTCATATTTTGAAATACGTAGATATTTAATTTAGAATTTCATAGAGGGAGTAATTACGGCCAGAAGCAGCTCATACATTCACTTGGTCAAAGGGAACAAACCAAAGAAATCATCTGACGAAGAGTTTAGCAGATTACCGTTTGGACACAGATCAATATGTAATGAAGTTAAGCAATGATAGCTTTGGCTACTTCTTGGATGGGTGGCCAACTCTAACTGGTATCATACAATCATACAATTCAGCCGTGCTTGGAATGGATATAGTAATAAGATGGAGGTTTTAAACGACTGATAAAAATATGCACCTCTTAAGATCTACAACTTTGCTCCTAATAGGAAACTACACATCAAAACGGCCCAAATCTCTCCCATTATGGAGATGACAACAGTTGAGATACAGCGACTGAACCGTTTAAAAGTCTTACTGTGCATCTGTCGGACTATAACCAGTGGTGTTGTGCTAATTTTTTTTTTTACCGGAACGCGTATATATAATTATATAGACAGGGCCGATCTTGGGTAGGCGGCCGCTCTGTGCGGTCTCATGTCCCAAATTTGACGACGACGGGGGGGGGGGATTTCCCCCAATTTTCGCCCGTCGCCAGGATCGGCCCTGTATATAGCATAAAAAGGAAAGGAAACGAAAATCATTACGAAACCCATTTTGTGTATACGTATATATATCGAGTTCCGGTTCAGCAGAAAAAAAACGTTCCGGATTCCGGTTCACGGTTCGGAAAAACAAGCCGGTTCGTTCCGGTTCGGGTTCGGTTCAAACCCTTGTTTATAATCTATATATATAAAAGAAAGTCGTGTTAGTTACTTCACTTATAACTCAAGAACGGCTGAACCGATTTGGCTGAAAATTGATGGGGAGGTATCTTACAACCGGGAGAAGGACATAGGATACTTTTTATCACTTTCCACGAGAAAAATGTGGTATATGTAAACGCAACTGACATGGAATGACAAAACGAAATTGACAGCAAAACAAAAAATTTATCAGTCAAAACATCAGTCTAGCCTTTCATTTGTTAA